AAAGCAGCAGCTGAGGCTGAGTTTACCTTCCCTTGTGCCCCCGGCTGGGGCCAGGCGCCTCTCGGCACCCGCGTTCCTGCGCCAGCAGCCCCAGCCAGTGCGAAAACTCTTGGTGGCGGTAGTGGATGATGCAGGTGTTGAGCAGCACAGCAGCCGAGAGGTCGATGGCTGTGACCTGGAGCAGGGAGAGCGCGGGGTGGCAGCAAGCTCGGGCCGGGAGCTGAACCAGAGCCCCCTCCCGGGGGGCCGGGAGCGCACCCAGCGCCCGCTCACCTGCACGCTGGTCTTCAGGGAGTTGAGGCACACGATGCGCTGGCGGCTCTGGGACAGGAGAAGGCCGTCTGGGGAGGGAGAGGAGCAGAAGTGAGGGATGGAGGAGGAAAAGGACAGAGGAAAAGGCTGGCAGCCTTGTCCCGGGGCCCCCCCTCCTGGCTACTTGCCCTCCAGCTGGAGGTCTACGCTCATTTGGTCCAGGTCCGAGGTGGGGGTGAAGTTGCGCAGCGGGATCTGCTCCTCCTCGCGCCGGTAGAGGAACTGCAGCAGCTTCAGGCTCCAGGTGAGGTGCCTGGGGAGAGCAGCGCAGCCCATCATCACCATCATCCCAGCAGCTGTCCTGCTGGAGCACCAGCTCGCCTGCCTTCCTCCTCCCCCAGGAGCACAGCCCCAGGCCACGCTCGGTGTTTCCCACCGGGGTGGGCTCTAGGGTTTGCTCTCTGCGCCTTCTGGCGGAGCAGGGGACGGCACAACCGTGCCAGGGCTTCCACAAGCACCTCTCCCACCTGCCCCCCTCACCTCTTCTGGCTGTTCATGGACAGCACCACGCTGGTGCTCTCCAGCTTCACCTCCACCCTCCTGGGCACAAGCTGCAGCGTGGCCCTGCTCAGCAGGGACGAGGACTCCGGGGGCTCCTCCGCACCTGCGGTGGGACACACGAGAGTCACAGGCAGCAGGAGAAATCCCAAATTCAGCCCTCGCCCCGTCCCCGGGGCCTGACCTGGGCTGGGCTGCTCCCCCCCGGCCGTGAATCGGTGCAGCAGGGGGCTGCAGAAGAGCCCCTCGTGGAGCTCTGCCTGCAGGGTCCGGACGCTCAGCCTGACGCCCACCAGCCGCCGCTTGCTGCTGATCTCCAGCGAGAGGGAGAGCGCCAGGGCCAACTCCGCCAGGCACGTGTCATCCTGGGGGGGCAGGACGAGTAAGGAACGTGTCCCGGGGGGTCCCAGAGGGTGGGATTTCTCCCCTCCCCAGCACTCACCAGCTGGCTGCTCCGCAGCACCTTGCTGTTCACCTTGGTCAGGCTCACCTCGCAGTTGAGGCTGGGGGGAGCAGAGCGAGGCTGCAGGTCGTGCTGCCTCCCTTTCCTTGCTTTTTGGGGGGACGCCGAGACCCCAAATTTCCCCCAAAAGCAGAGCAAAAACCCTAACCCCGTGAACAACACAGCCACCCGTCGGGAAAATAAACGGCTCTGGGAAAAAGGGACCGGGACAGAAGGAGCCCTGGCTGGTGGGGGTGGGAGAAGATCTCACCCTGATCCCAGCAGGGAAACGGGGCCGTGCTGGGGGAATAGGGGAGCAGAGTTACCTCTTCCCATCCCCGGCGAGGAGGAGCCGCGTCTTGCTGGCCTGGATGTGCCAGAGAGACTCCGACGTGGCCACGTGCAGAACCATGACGTTGATGGAGTCCAGGTGGATGGAGAAGAGCTGGTGGTGAGAGGGAAAACATTAGGGCGAGGGCTGACCCCATAGCAGCACATCCTGTAAAACCCTGCTCGGAGCAGAGCCTACCTGGCTGAGGAGCCGCAGCAGGGAGGGTTTCAGGGCCACGTCCCCTCCATCGGCCTCGCTGGGAGCCCCCGGGAAATGGGGCTGGAAGCCGGGGCCCTTCTGCAGGTCCGTGCGGATCCGCACCTCCCCAAAGCACAGCTCGAAGTAGCGCCTGCATAACAGCAAAGGCAAGACTGACGTGAGCCTGCGGGCTCTGCTGTTTTGGGGGGGCTTCTGTGGGACACCCCGAAGGATTTTCCAGACCGCAGGGACCGCGAGGCCCCAAAAGAGCAGCTGGGGAGCTGGGGGGACGTACGGCAGCTCCCGGCTCAGCTTGCTGGAGATCCAGACGTTGTCGATTTCCTGCAGGGACACAGGGGGAGGTGAGCGAGGAAACCGAAAAATATCCCACAGCGCCCACCTCAAACCTCCCACCCTGCTCCCAGTGCTCGGCATCACGCAGGGAGCCCCCAAAAACCCCAAATTTGGCCAGGGAAAAAGGGGCGAAACCCCAGGGTTGCGTGACAGCAGGGACATGATGCATATCCAAAAGGGACCGTGGCCACCCTGCCCTCACCCCAAACCCCGGGACCCCCGCTCTGGGGGCACCCACCACCGTCTGCTGCTTCTGCTGGAACTTGAGGCTGATGTTCTGGGCCCAGAAGAAGCCGAAGGAGCCGATTTTCAGCTCTGCCTGCAGCTTCTGGCGGCACCAGCTGATGGCCAGGCGGCACAGCAGCCACCTGCGGGGACACAAAGGGACGGGGTCAGCACCCTGCCCCTCGGGACCACCCCGCATCGACCCCTCTGAGACCCCCCTGAATCCCCACAGCCAGCCCCCAGCCCCTCCTCGACCTAGCACCTAGGTCTGTGGGACCCCCCAGAAGCCCCCATATTCCTGTCCCCCCCCCATACCTCAACCCATAGCCCCCCAAACCCAAACCTATGAGCCCCCCCCTATATTCCCCTACCCCTCTCCCACCCCCCCCAAACCCTACACCCCCTTTACACCTTTCCAGGAGCCCAAGACCCCCCCAGAACCAGAAAGACCCCCCCCGACAACCCTCAGGAACCCCCCTAGGACCCCCTCACCCTCCCAGCCCCCTAGGACCCCTCCTCACCCCCCTGAAGACCCCTTACCCACCTCAGGACCCCCCTCAACCCCTCCAGGACCCCCTCATTCCCCTCAGGACCCCCTCCTCACCCCCCTAGGACCCCCCTAGCCCCCCTGAAGACCCCTCATCCCCCTCAGGACCCCCCTTAACCCCTCCAGGTCCCCCTCAACCCCCCCTGGACCCCTTCAGGACCCCCTCACCCTCCTCAGAACCCCTCCTCAGCCCCCAAAGACCCCTCTTCACCCCCCTGAAGACCCCTTACCCACCTCAGGACCCCCCTTAACCCCTCAGGACCCCCCTTAACCCCTCCAAGTCCCCCTCACCGCCCCCAGGACTCCCCTCAACCCCTCCAAGACCCCCTCACCCCCCTCAGGACCCCCCCTCAGCCCCAAAAGACCCCTCCTCACCCCCCTGAAGACCCCTTACACCCCTCAGGACCCCCCCCTCATATCCCCAGGACCCCTTACACCCATCAGGACCCCTTACACCCATCAGGACCCCCCTCCCCTCCCCCTCACCCCTTCCTCTCCCCCCCCCACACCCCTCAGGACCCCCCTCACCCCCTCAGAACCCCTCCCAGGACCCCCCAATCCCCCCCCTTTCCCCCCATTTCCCCCTTTTCCCCGTGGCCCTGACCGCGCCAGCAGCGCGGCGAGCAGCAGGCCGATGGCGATGGCGAGCAGGGCGATGCCGGGGAGCGGCAGGGGCAGCCCCGGGCCCCCCAAAACCCCCGGGCCCCCCGCCGCCATGACGGGCGGCCCCCCCTCCCCCCGGGCCCCGCCGCCCTCCCAGCAGCGCCCGCGGAGCCGGCGGGGCAGTGACGGGCGCGAGGGGCGGGGCCAAGGGAGGGGGCGGGGCCAAACCCAATGGGCGTGGTCACACACCCCATGGGGCGTGGTCAAACCTCCAGGGGGGGCGTGGCCAAACCTCCCAGGGGGCGTGGCCAAACCTCCCAGGGGGCGTGGCCAAGCGGCTGGGGGCGGGGCCTTACCGGAGTTGAGCGCCACCGCCCCCCCCCCATGCTGCCGGTCCCCCCCCCGGTCCCCCCCCCGGTTCCCTCCCTTTTTCCCGGTTTCTCCCGTTTTTTCTCCTTCTCCTCGTTCCCCCCCGGCTCTCCTCCGACCCCCCGGGCCCCCCTGGTTCCCCCCGTTTCCCCCCCTTTTCTCCCGGTCCCCCCACTTTTCCCCGGTTCTCTCCCTTTTTCCCAGTTCCTCCCGGTTCCCCCCCTTTCTCCCCGTTTCCCCCTTTCCCCCCGTTTCCCCTGATTTCTCCCGGTTCCCCCTTTCCCCCCGGTTCCCCCCATTTCCCTCCCTTTCCTCCAGTTTCCCTCAGTACCCCCCAGTCCCCTCCAACTTCCCCCGGTTCCTCCCAGTTCCCCCCCGAATTCCCCCAGTTCCTCCCAGTTCCCCCAGTCCCCCCGTGCTCAGGAAGCGGCACGCCGCGGGCACACAGCTCCTTCCTGGCCCCCAGCCCAGCAGCGGGACACGGGGAGAGGAATCGGGGGGCAGAGGAGCGGGGGTGATACGGGTGGGGAGTCCAGGATGGTGCTGGGCAGATTTGGGGGGCTGGGGTATGGCTTGAATTGTATTTACGGTGCTGGGATCCGGTTTGAGTTGGATTTGGGGCATCAGAATCTGATTTGAATCTGGTTTGGGGCACCGGAATCCGGTTTGAATGTGGTTTGGGGCACCAGGATCCAGGCTGAGTTGGATTTGGGGTGCCAGGATCCAGCTTGCATCCAGTCTGGACCCTGGGAGCTGGTGTGAGTTGGATTTGGGGCACAGGGTTCTGCATTGTGTTTGGGGCACTGGGATCTGAGCTGAGCTGAATTTGGGGCTCTGTGATCTGGTTTGGGGTTTGTGATCTGCGTCGGGATGGATGTGGGGCACTGGGATCTGCTTCCAGTCAGATTCTACATAGGGAGTTCTGCTTCGTGTCTCATCTGGACTTTAGGATCTGGACTTCATGATGGATCAACTTTGGGATCAACTTTGTTCAGGACATAGCGATGTGTTTTGCATTGGATTTAGGACACTGGGATCAGTTTGGGGCTGCATTTGGGATCTGTTTGGTGTTGGGTTCACGCTGCGGGGCTCTGCTTTGCATCGAATGCCAGACACTGAGCTCTGCTTGGTGTTAAATTCAGAATAACGGAATTATTAACACCGTGTGAAATCAGAACGAGGGAACTATTAACTCCGTGCTGCATTTGGGACATCGGGCTCCAGTTTTTGGTGCGCGCCAGACCCGTGCGGGGCCCGGGGGCCATCAGTCTGTGTCGGTCACAGCTCGGCGTGGTAACGCTCCGCTTTGAAAACCTCGCCGGGCTGCATGAAGACGCCCTCCATGACCTTCCAGTAGTTGTGCTGGCTGGAGGCGGCCGCGCCGTGCACCTCCTTCTGCCCGTGGATGGGCCGCCCGTACTGCTCGCCCGTCACCGCCAGGAAGACGTCGGTGGAGGCGTGCTGGAAGCGCACCTCGCTGTCCCGCGCCCAGTAGGTCCCGCTGCACAGCACCGTCCAGTCGTCCAGGTAGTCGCCCTCGCCGTCCTCCCCGAAGGCGCTCACCTCCTGCGGTGGCAGCAGCAAGGACCCGGTTATGCGTGGAGAGGGGAAAAGGAGCTTGGTTTGGGGGGGCTTGGAGCTTTGTGGCAAGGTGGGGAGGGGGAAATGGGGGTGTCGGAGGGGGAGCACCCACAGGGATGGCTCTGCAGGGGTGTCAGGGTTAAGGAGTGCACGTTTTGGGTGCTGGTTTGTTAGAAGTTTGTTACCCAAAGTAAAAGCTCGGGTGTCCCAGGGCTTGTAGGGGGCACAGCAAAGCCCGGGTGCCCCAGGGGACGCAGCTTGTTGTGGTGGGGATGGTCCTGCTGGCTGCTGGGGGGGGGGCTGGCATGAAACGGGGGGCAGAGAGTGGGATTGGGGCTGAGAATGGGGCTGAGGAGATAATGGGGCAAGGGAAAATAGGTCTGAGGAGGACAAGGGGATAATGGGGCTAGGGAAAAACGGGGCTGGGGGGGACAAGAGGGCTTGGCAAGGGCTGGGAGACAATGTGGGGCGGCGAAGGATGGGGACAGCAACACTGGGGACCTGTTGGGGACCCTACAGGGACCCGGTAAGGACCCAATGGGGTCCCGGTAAGGACAGGGGCTGGTCCTAGGGAACAAGAGGAGCCCGGTCGGGGTCAAGGGCCACAGGGGCCGTGCCCGGTACCTGGTTCCCGGAGAGCGGGGAGGCGAAGCGGTGGCTGTGGAGGTTGCGGCCGGTGCCGAGGTGCGTGAGGCGGATGGCCTGGCCGCACCGCACGGGCCGGCCCCGCTCGCACACGGCGGCCGTGCGGCCCCGCACCCGCCAGTAGCTGTTACCATCGTCCGCCGCCGCCACGCCGGTCACCGACTGCTGCCCGCTGCCTGCGAGAGACAAAAAAATTAATAAATAAATTTAGAAATAAATTAATAAGCAGGGAAATAACGCCCGGGAGGGGGCTGGCGGCCTGTAGCGGGGCCGGTACCGGAGCCGTAGCGGACGTCGTGCGAGTGCAGCCGCACGTTGTGCTGCACATTGAGCAGCTTCACCACCGAGCCGCACGTAACGGGGCCCGGCCCGCCTCCTCCTCCTCCTCCTCCTCCTCCTCCCCCGTTAACGGCCGCGCCCAGCGCCAGCACCAGCGCCACGATCGGGATCGGGGCCGGGAGCGGGGCCCTGCCCGCAGCCGCCGCCACCACCTCCGGCCCCATCCCCGCTGCCGCTTCCGGCGGAAGCGGAAGTGGCGCCGCTCTGCCCGCCCGGAGGTCGCAACTCGTCTGCTCCGCCCCCCGCCGCCGCCGCCGCCGCCGCCTCCATTTTCCCTCAGCGCCCCCGGGGGAGGCCGCGCCGGGCCCAGCGCTGCCGGTAGGGGCCGGGAGGGACCGGGACGGCTCCGGGAGGGTGGTGAGGGGTAAGGGGAGGGGTTCGGTAGGGTCTAGGGGGTGGGTGGGGGCATCTACCGGGGTTTCGGGCCGGGCTGGGCGGCTGCTGGGGGGGGGTGAGGCCTGGTGGAGCCGTGAGGGGGGCACGGGGAGGGCCCGGGGGGGGCCCGGGGGGGGGGTGTGAGGGGTCGGGGGGGGCTGAGGGGTGTGAGGGGGTTGAGGGGGGGCCTCTGAGGGTTCCCCGGTGTGGGGGCGGGGGCTGGGCGGCCCCTCCGTGCTCCTCACCCCCGCCCCCGGGTGTAGGCCGCGGGGGTGGCACCCCCCTGACCCCCTCCCCCTTCCTTCAGGGCACCCCCTCCCAGCCCGGCTGCTGTGGGGTGGGGGCGGTGGGACCCCCCCATACACACACACAAACCCCTGGGGTCCCCTCCTCCTCCTCGGGGCTGCCATGGGGCCTGGGGAGGGCACCCTGCTGCCAGCCCCCTCCCCGTCATCACAAGGGGGGCAGCGAGACCCTCGCCCCTATTTCCCAATTTCCCTATGGGTTCTCATCACCCCATCTGCAGGAGAAGTCCCCGCACAGCTGGGGCACTCTGTTTGGGTTTGTGAACGGCTGGCGGGGCCCCCCAAAAATGCTGGGGGGGGCAGCAGCCTGGGCAGGCCCTTTTTGGAGCTCACGGTTGTTTAAAAAGCAGCACATGGAAGGTGAGAGTGAACGGCTGGAGGTCGCGGCGGGGTGAGGTTTGAGGTGGCTTGGGGGCTCGCTGCCCCCCCCGTTCTGCTTCCGTTGGTGCTTGCTTTGTTTTTTTCTGGGTATGACGATGTGGGGAAGGGAAGGAAGCGATGAATTTAGCAGCTAAATGATTTAGGGGAGCTGAACCCCGCTGGGGGAGGATGCTGGGTGCTCGTGTGGCACACAGGAGGTGATGGCTGGGGGTGTAACAGAGGCCCCAGCCACCGCAGCGACTGCCTCCACGTCAGTTTTCACCATTCAGGGAAGAGCTCCCAGAGCCTCAGCACTTCCTTCTTTTAAAACACCGCTTCAACACCCCGGCGTGGTCCAAAACGGAGAGTTTGGAGTTATTTAAAAGCAGAGATCCCACCCGGGTGCCTGCAGTCACGGAGGGCAGATCCAGTTTCTGGTCCTCGCAGGAAACCGTGCCGTGGCAGGTCTGAAGGAGCGATGCGGAAGCGCTCTCACAGGGCTGCCTCGCTGCCACAGGATGTCCTGCGGCCCGATAGCATCGGGGGAGGTGGGAGCAGCGGGACCAGCAGGCAGCGGCAGGACTTGTGAAACAGGAACGGGGCTGCCTGAGCCGCCGGGGCTCTCCCCGACCTGCCCCTGTCCTGATATTGCTGAACATCGTGGGTCTGTTCCTCGTTTTGCTCCTCAGCTCCGTTACCTCACACTGAGGAAGGAGGGACGTCTGGTTTAGGTCCTTCAGAAGTTTGAAAAGCAGCTGTGAAACCTCAGTACCACATGTGCTGCTGCTGCCGTGGTGGGGCTCAGCCCTGCCAAAATCCCTGCCTGCCCCACGGAGTGGCTCTCAGGAAGAGCCCACGGCTGATGAGACGCCTGCAAGGGATCAAATGCGGCATTTTTCTTGTAAAAACACTGAGATTGGTTCCTTGTAAGACCTTGGAGCGGTGACGTTACCTTTGCCCTTGGTTTGGGATTTTCATACCAAACCACTTGTCACAGCCTTACTCCCATGGAAATGCTCTCACCGTGCTAATGTTCATTTCATGAGCGTTTCATTGACAAAATTAATAGATTGGGCTTCCTTGGGCTCTGTGTTTTAATCGAGCCAGGATTTCTGGCCTGCGTGTAGTCACAGAGCTTTCTGAACCTTCTCCAACCTAGACATTTTGTCTTTAAAATGAGAGCTGGACAGAACTGTTCCCTGGTGGCTTTGGCAGAGGCTTCTGTGGACCTGTGTGATGCTCAGGGAGTTGAACCGTGAAGTGGCAGAGGTTAAAAAAATCTGTCCAAAAAAATAAAAATCACAGAATTTGTTGTGGTCTCACAGTGACACTGCCCGGCTGTTCGTGGGCACAGACAGCAGGAGATGAGGTTTCCCTCACCCCACAGCCGTGTGTGAGGCTTCTGCGGGGCGCTACTGCTCCCCATGCCAGCCCTACAAGTGGCTCTGTCCCCGCTGTGGCTCCTGACACTGCAGCTCCTCGCTGCGTGGTTGGATTTCCAGCCCGATGTGCTGGGGGATCTGCTCTCCCCGTACCGACAGCAGGGAGAGCTGCCTGCTCGCTGTCGCCCCGGTTGAAAGGAGCTCGCGGACTCTGGCAGGTTGCCACCGTGCCCTTGAGCTGAGCAAAGTGCAGGCACCCCCGGCGTGGAGCAGAGCTCGGGGAACCGCACAGCCCTGGGCTGGAGGCAGCGCTTGAGGCGCTGGGCACGCGCCTCGAGCATTTCTTGGGGGAAACACTTCACAGCAGGGAGCACACGGTGCTGTGATGAAGGGTTTTCTGTCCTCCTGGATGTTTTGGGTGTCTGTGGTGGGCAGAAGGAGGCTCGTTAGGCTGGGAGATGCCACGGAAGCCGCTCGCCCCGCAGTTAGATGCGAGGAGCCGCCGCGCCGCTCGGGCAGAGGCTGGCAAACAAAGCAGCTCCTGTTCTCTGCAGCACGGAGCCCGTCGGGGGCCTTTGCTCCAAAATGCAGGGAAACACATTCAGCCGGCGTCTGCCTCACCCTCTGACGCCTCGTTTGGGAGAAGGATGAGCCGGGTGAGGACAGGGATCAGCCTGTACCCGCGCCAGGACGGCGATGTGCTGTCTGGGAGCGGGGCGGCAGCCTTGGCCCGCTGCGTCTGGCCCTGGCTGGAGCGTGGTGAGGAGGAATAGCAGCTGCTCTCTGCTCCTGCCTGAAAACTCCGAGGTTTTCCCTGGTGTTTCTCGTGGTTTTTCCTTTAATGAGGCGGGGCCAACGTGTTCCTGTGCAGCTATTAATATTTTAAGACAAAATATTCGCCAAGATCAGCCTTTTTCCGCTCTCTTTTTTTGAAAGTGAGAAGCGAGTTCCCGTTTTTCCCTAAGTTGCCATGTTCGTGCTCCAGCTGGGGGGGATCTGTGGGCAGAACAAGAAGCCCTGCACATGAGATGTGGCACAGCAAAGCCTCAGTTGGGTGGGGAGATGGTTATTGCAGAACCTTGAAGCACAGTCAGGTATCACTCCCCATCATGTAGGGCTTTTTTTTTGTTGTCGTTGTGTTGCACCAGATGGAATTTAACGTGGAGGTTTTGCCTTTAGATCTGATCCCTCCTTAGAGCTTTGCTTTGTACCGGAGGCTGCTGCGTCTTCCTGGGCTGGCTTTGTCACTGTCACAGCCACGTGAGGGATTGATCGGGGTTTTCTTATAGCTGGCTTTAGAAATTTCTGTTGTTGTGGCCTGTTTAAAAAGGAAAAAAAAAGAAATCCTTTGCAAATTAGAGCAAATTTATAACCACGGGAAGTGACAGGCTCAAGGAGACAGATCTGAGGCTATGTTAGGATGGACAAACACTTTCCTTCGTGCTAGCCCAGGTTTATGCTGCTTCCAGAAACCCCACTGGGGAAAAACATCAAACAAAAGGTTCTGGGTGCGGGAATCCCCCCGTGCTGCAGTCTCCTGTTACCTCCTCATCTCTCCCCCTTGGCTCCCAACGTGCTGTGTGCTCCGCGGGGCTCCCTGGCTCTCAGCAGAGCCTCGCTCAGCACTCAGCCAAGGCCACTTTGGGGATCACCCTGGCTTCATTAAGCGGGGATTAATCACATCAAGGTCCTAATTGGTCGGACGGCGCGCCTGACCCAGCGCTGCGTCAGGGACGGCGTAGGGTCGCCTTCCTGGCCGAGCCTGAGGCTCGCTGAGACACAGCCCGACAGGAGCTGACAGCACGGGGCTGCTGGTTTGGCTTGGCTGATCTCTGGTGACAGGGATGTTCAGGCGAGGGGGGCTCTGGGCGATTCAGGACCTGGAGAGATGATTTGACCCTGTTTTCCCTTAGCTGACGCGATGGATTTGTCTTCTCTCCCCAGCTCCTGCGCGTGAGACACTGCAGCCATGTCTGACTTCGTAGAAAGCGAGGCAGAGGAGTCAGAGGAGGAGTACAACCAGGACGGGGAGGTTGTGCCCAGAGTAACCAAGAAATTTGTAGAGGAAGATGAGGACGGTGAGTCTTCTGTCTGCACCGAGGAGGCTGAGCTGTCTGCGTGCCTCACAGCTCTGTTTTCCGTCTCCTCACGCTGTGGATGCAGCAGTACCCGTGCAGCAGTAGCGTGGCCATCTGTAGGCGATATCCTCAGCTGTTGAAGCGCTTCCCTTCCTCAAAGCGCTGAGAAGGATTTTATATTTGGCAAGAGGAAGTACATTTCTTCACCCCCGGGGGATGCGCGGTTTGATAGTAAACAGTAAAAGCACGGGAATTCTCCCAGTGTGACCACTCCACCTGTTCCCTCTGCAGAGAGAGCGTGAGACAAGAAATGGGGCTCTGGTGTGAGCAGCTGGCCCGGTTCTGTGTCAGTAAAAGCCTTCAGTTAAGGCTCCCTGCGCAGATAGTGTGAAGGAAAATGTTTGTATAGAGTTGTGCAAGAGCCTTGGAGATAAAAGCCTTAGACGCTTATGCAGTAGTTATTGTTCTCCACCCTAGATGAGGAAGAGGAAGAGGAAAATCTGGATGATCAAGATGAGCAAGGGAACCTGAAAGGATTCATTAATGACGATGATGATGAGGAGGAGGAAGAGGAGGAAGAAGCCAGTGACTCTGGAGACTCTGAAGACGATGTTGGCCACAAAAAGAGAAAGCGCAGTAAGTTTTGGGGTGGGGCCACGGTGTTAACACTTGCACTGCCCTGCTGCAAGCGGTGTCTGCGTGCCCTGGGTGAGCTGTACCCACCTGTCTGTTCCCACATCAGTAAAGGGAGACTGTAACTCGTCTCTGCTTTCTCGTTAGCCTTTGATGACCGCCTGGAGGACGACGATTTCGACCTCATTGAAGAGAACTTGGGCGTTAAAGTCAAACGGGTGAGTTGTTTCCACACTGTTGCTAATGGTGTGGCACAGAGGGTTGGCTTCTGCATGGAGTGAGCGAGCAGTGCCTCCAGTCTGCTGCTTTCCTTGCAAAGGAGGAGCTGAGTGCTCAAAGGAAGCACACTCTCTCCTTGCCAAGGCAACTGGGCACTGGCTCCTAGAGTTTCCAAAACGCTTTGTGCTTGTTTGTATCGTCTGCTCTGCTCCTCCCCTCCCACCTCTGCAAAGCAGGTTCAGAAGAGCCCATCTGCTAGTAATTTTTGCCTGTGTGGAAAAGTTACCTGCAGCGTGGCTCTTTTGGAGCCAGGGGAAGGGCTCTTTGCCCCTCCCTGCCTGTGCTGTGCTGGGCTCCATCCTGCTCCCCCTCTAGAGGGAGCAGAGGAAGTGCAGTTCTGGCCTGGCAGAGACAACACAGAGCGTGTCTGTGCCAGGAGGTGTGTGCACTAACACGACTCCTTGCTTGCAGCAAAAATTCAGGCGCGTGCGGAAGATGTCAGATGATGAGGATGATGAAGAGGAAGACTATGGGAAGGAAGAGCACGAGAAGGAAGCCATTGCTGAAGAAATCTTTCAGGATGGCGAAGGCGAGGAGGGAGGGGAAGCTGTTGAAGCTCCTGTTGCTCCACCAGAAGAAGAGGAGGAGGAGGAGGAAGATGAATCTGGTGAGTATGGATGGCCGATTGCATCTGAAGTTTGTTGTAGGACTAAAGCACAGCAACCAAGTTAATGCTTCCACTGATCTACAGTTAACCAAAAGCTGGAGCCCTGTTGTGGTCAAGCTCTTGGTGGTCTGATTAGTACTATCTTTAGAATTAAATGTTTCTGGGCAGCAGATTTAGTTTGTGTGTTAAACTGCTTTGTCCAGGAACATCTTGCATACAGTGAGGTGTTGAATGCCTCCTTTAAGCTGCTTTCAGCATGAAAATGCTTCGAACAAAGTAAGCAGAGGCACAGTTTAGCACTTAGTAGCACTGTGCATGCCCGCCCTGCTCGTGCTCTTGGGCATTAGCCCATCATCACTGCTGGTGCCATACTGAAGGAGTTGCAGAAATTCTTTCTGTCTAGGGTCCAAAGCAGGAAGGCTTTTTTCTGAGTGCATTTTCTGTGCACTGAGCTGCAGATAGACACCAGATGGCTGTCCTGGGTTTAAAAGTTTGTTCTAGCTTGTAATTGTGGTTCAGGCTCCTGGAATTTCTGAGGTCGGTGAAGGAGATGCTGTGGGTAGCTGTGCAGACTGCCAGCAGGCAGCAGCCTAAGTCTGTGGTGGAAGCACACAGCTGCACTGGCTGTGTGTGTGTGTGTCCTGACTGCTAAAATGGTTTTGTCCGTGTCCAGACATCGA